AGGCCTACCACTTTCTTGACATTTTGACATGAGTCTGGCTGAGGATACATGATGGATTCCCTATCTCGCGGAAGATGCCCGGTCAAGCTGAGTCTGGCAAAGACATTGGAGAAGACCGTGGACGATGGCAAGTGCACTCCAGCAAATTTTCCACGATTCACCCCTATCATGGAGCCACGGTATTGCCCATGGCTATCACCATCGACTCCGATTCACCCTGGTGTTTTGAACATTTCACTTTCAGAAAGTGTCGATGGTCTTCTTAAGAATGACCCTGAGTTTGAGATTTTTCTTTATACTATTGCCAGAGATCCCTACAGCTGTAGGCAGCAATCACAAGGGAACTAATGGACATAGAATTGGAAGGCGGTGGAATGCATGTATGATGTGTGATGTAAGCAGAAGGAATGGATTCTTGCGACAAGATTATGGACAAGTGCGGCAGGGAGGTGGGTAGAAGAGGAATGGAAGAAAGAAATGGTAAAATTGATCCTTGTGGGGGACTGCCTTCTCGAAAGTAACAGATTGACTAGCACAACTGGAGACAAAATGAGACCAAAAGGCTGGAATAACAAAAGCTAGAATAGCTCAACAAATCCAAAAAGGCACTCTTGTCAGAATAGTAGATACCATTGTGACGAATTCAGTTATAAGGAAAGAGACAGATTTTTTAAAAGCAGTATGGAGACTCACATGGGTACAGAAGCGTACATTTGTAATTCATTTTTTAAAAAGAGGATGTGATGGGGAAGAGTGTTTGGTGCGTCTGGATCAAGCCGGTCTGAAGAGACCAAAGGTTCAGAAAATAAAGCGCATTCAGGTATTTTCAGCAATGTAGCTGCCAGTTTGCGGAGAAAGTTTGCTGACAGTTCTTTATTATGTCAACCATCGGACTTTGGAACATGTGTTAGGAACTGGGCGATGAACGAGCAGTCAAACATGAATGCACGTGTGGCCGATGCATCCTCAGTGTTGAGGGATTCTTCAACAAGTTATCACGAGTATCATTACATTACTGTATGGCTCAACTAAGCTGTACCTTGAGACCACTTTCCAAAGTTTTGCTGACGTGTAATGGCTCTACACTTCAGAGTAAACAGAAATGAAGCAATTCTCCTTCTGGTGAAGCAAATTTTCGACGAGCTCAACTTGGCTCTGTTCTATCCTTGTGAGTATTGTTGCGATATTTACGTGATTATTGCGGCAACGTGCGTGAACACGCTTGGTTGAAACATTGAAAGTGAAGAAACAAACAGAAAGCCACAGCCGACAAGGAAATAGCCATCATGTCCTTAGGTGAAGATGAAAAACACTCTGGTGTTGAATGGACGTGCCAGCTGTTCCTTTGGCATTAGGAAGCAATGCGTCTTCTCAGTATTACAAAATTGAAATATCGGTGCATCATTTTACGTTCTACAACGTTGTTGAGAACGATGTGGTGGGCTGAGGCAGAACGAATTTGCAACGTACATAATCAACTTTGTGAAAGGAATCCTGGCTGCCAAAAGTAACTCTTATACGGTGATGATTGGACATACCAAACCGATATTCGACATCGGCAAAGCCGCTTCTTATTTGTGCCATGAAACAGGGTTCAAATAGAACAAAGAAAACCAGGAAAGGAGCATCTTACAAACAGACGTGGGTTTCCCAGCTCAACTATATCGAGAGGAGGTTGAAGACTCCCCTACCTATGTGTCAGCCCAGTATGTCCATAAAACACAGTCATCACGCTCAAACCCCATCCATACCATGTGAAATATCTGCAACACCAACAACTTTCAGGATTACAAGAGCATGTCCGACCATTTTCAACCCAGCAGGAGAGTCAAGGACTCTTCGGTGACGGACAGGAGGTGTATCCTGATGAGTCACGGAGGTGAGCCCCACCAAATTCTCCCAAGAGGTCAAACCAACCAAAGTGGGAGCTGGTTGACCCAACGCCTGCCTACACTAGCTCCGGGAAAATGAAAAACGGAGAAATACTAACATGTCCAAACGGTGTAAGAGGTCATGCCAGTTGAATACCATCCATTTTACCACGCTCTGTCAACTGACTAGCACCGAACATTGCTCATAGGGAAAGTAGAGACTTACAATCATGGAATTCAAATGTGATTTTGTCGTCTATGTAGCTTACACTGTTTCATTGTTTATTATAACGTAGGAACTCAAGCGTGAGAGATGATGAAAGTTAGTACACAGGAAAAATGAGCCCATCTATGTGCAATCAAACGATACTAATATTCTTTCAATCACGCCCCAGATAAAAAGATGCAAAGAGACCAAGTTTTAAATGTTATTATAATTCAGCCGAGAATCGAACCCATGACCTCCCGATCCAGATTAGAGCCCCGAGACCAACGTTTGCCATACCAAGGCCCTGCCCTTTGGGGGTATCGAACAAAAGTGGAGGTTTCTCAGATAAATGCTAAAAAAAAAGTCTTGTCCTGGCTTTTTAAACAACTTAATTTGTGTTGGTTTGGGTTTTTGTTTGATATTTTTGTAAACACAGCCATGTCTTCTTACCAACAATTCTAGTCAAACAATTGATGACCTGACACATTGGGATATTTCACGTAGTACAGCTAAAGTTCCACACTGGCAGATATAGTCCCTTTTCCTCTTGAATAATCTAATAGTGTTGATAGGGCATTGAACCTTAACCATTGCACATGTTTTAGTACATGTATTGGCCTTCAGACATCGGGTCGACGACTTCTCCTAGTACTGGTCACCTAATGTAAAATACTAGGCGAGAGAGCAGCTAGGATGTTAAATTGAATTGATTAAAATTTCCATCATGAATCGACAGGTAACAAAGTTTGAACCCACACATGCCAGTAACCAGGGTTAATTAATTTACAGACAAAGGGCCAGTCAAAGCACTAAACTTGTCATTCTGATCTAAAACATTTTGTGTATGAATCGACCAGGTTAAGATTCCAACACAGTTTGAACCAGTCAGCTTCCATTAAGATAGATCTATTAGTTCAAATTAATACTATAACTCGCCGTCGTCCATGTTCATCTAGGTCTTTACTTATTATGACGGCGAACAGTGGCACACAGTTGTGACGAACCGGCTACATGCCGCCTCGTGCCACGGCTGTGCGGGAAGCGTCCTGCGCGAACCGGCCACCTGCAGAGAACCGGCCACCTGCATTGTGCTGCACATTTTTTGTGATTCCATAACCGGCTACATGCGATATAAAACTATCGGTTGTGGTATTTAAGAAAAATCAAGTAGTATTTGGTCCCAACACTTATAACTTAACCTTTTGTATAAAAATTTGAAAGATTGTGCTGCGCGTTTTAACAATAATCAGTTTTTTGTCCCTCCTGTAAAATTTGCCTTTCTGCATGTAGCCGGTTTGTGAATCCCATCGACGATATTATAGATCATCTCCCTATGACTCATGGGTATCTGGTCTTCGAGGGAATTTCATGACCACTAGATATTAGTTTGAAAGTGCTCCTACAATTTAGCATGCACATAGCAAAATCGGAATGATGCCGAACTCTCTCTGTTATGTAACAATTTCTCAATATTATATGCATTATAACTTACAAAGAATACACATTTTTAATCAGAAAAATTTCGGGACTGGAAAATCGAACAGATATGAGATATGAGTGTTTTGCTATGGGCATGTTTGCTCTGTGCATTCTAGACAGTATTTTTAAAAGTTACAGTATACTTGAGCATCAAAAGGAATAAACGAAGATTAACACGCTTATCATTACTTTCTATTCCTCAAACCTTTTAAAGTTTTATGTCTCGAACAATAAAGTGCTCTATTGTGGTTTGCTCCTTCTTTCCTATCAAGCATCTCTCATCTTCATCTCTCCTTTCCTTTGTATGAAACTCTACAGTAATACCTCTAATCTTCAGTACTTATATCACCCAACTGTTTTGCAAGTGCCATAAAACTCATACTAAAACTTAACTAAAGCAAAGAACGTACCAACGGGATTCATGTCCTGTTCAGCATCACTCTCATTGACGTAAATGTTGACTGCTGAGACCATATATGCAGTCCCATTAACTTGAATGCTCGAGGACATTTTGTAGAATTCTGAATAGAGTTTGGAGCCCAGCAGCATCAGCATGTCAGTAGTCACATCTCGAGAGAACATTGCCGAACTGACAACTACAGTTCTGTGTGTATAGAAAGAGGGGGAGTGTTTATAAGGGGAGAAAAAAGACTGAAAGAGAATGAAAGGTGAATGAGGTTTTGGGGGGTGAAGTAAGAGGAGATGGGGGTAGGGGCTTGGGGGGGGGGGGGGGTAAGATAGGGTAGGATTTGAGGTGGGGGTGGGGGTGGAAGAGAAGAGGTCAAATAAGTGGTGAGGGTTAAGTGAGGGGGGGGGGTTGTGACAGGGAAAAGTGGGGCTGGGTGATGTGAGGGGAAGGAAAGGTGGAGCAGGGGGGGGGGGGATATGAGGGTGAAGTGATATGGGAGATTTTAGGTGAGAAGGATAA